GGGGGGGGGGAGAGTGAAAGGAAAGAAAAGTGGAGGGAGAGACGGGTCAAGGAACTGAGCGAGAAGAGATGCACATGGGGAGGTAGAGGAGAGAACTGACGCAGAGAGAGTTGGGAGAAATAGGGAGACACAGGAGCAACGGAGAGAGTTGCAGGAGAGTGGGAGGTGGGGGGAGAGATGGGGCATGCTGGGCATGGACAGAAAGGTACAGAACAGGCCGGGAGAGCCCTGGGGACAGCACGGGGCTCCACTGCTGGAGACCAACTTTATGTTCACATATATATAACTTATACACAGAGTATATAGCTGCTTACATTTTATTATATTTGATAACTACCTATCAAAATATTTACTTTATAAATTATATATTTATGTATGCATTTAAGTATATTTACTCATAATATACAACTTATATACAAATATATTTAAATAAATGCATATAGAAATATAATTTAGAAAATAAATCTAATTTTAATAATTTGCATATTTATATAAGAGGTATAATGTATATTTTTATAAATATTTACATAATATATAGAATATACTATAATTTTATATACTTAAAGACATAACTATATAGTATATGATCTATAACATTACATAACTTTATATTTATAAATTTATATAAAGTATATATAACAACTTTATATAGTTATAAATTTATATTTATATAAGATATAGACAAATTTATATGTTATATGTAATATATGTAACTATATTTTTCTTGTTTCTTTATAACTATATATTTTTTATTTTCATTTTTATATATAAAGGAATCCTTGTCCTGGCCAGGTAGTCAAGGTTGCAGGTTCGATTCCCAGTCAGGGCCCACACAAGAAGCAACTAATGAATGCATAAATAAGTGGAACAACAAATCAGTATTTCTCTCTCCCTTCTCTCTAAAAATCAACAAATTAAAAAAATAAAGGAATAAATAAAGGAATCCTCCTCCAACCTACTCTCCCGTATCTGCCCCTGTTTCCCCGGTCACCCTGTGAGACCCCAGGCCACCCCTGTGGATACCTACCCCGGGGGCTGATGGTGGTGCCCCAGCCGGACACCCGGCAGCAGGTGCCGGCGGGGAGGCAGTCGCTGTGCGGGAGAGGCAGTGTGCGGATGCGGCTAGTGAGCAGCACCGGGGCCTGCAGCTCCAGGAGCATGATGTCGTGGTCGTGGTTCAGGTGGGTGGGGCTGCTCTGGTACAGGGGGTGGGGGATAGAGCGGACCACGTCCCTCACCTGCTCGCCCGCCTCCCTGTGCCCCAGGGCGTGCTTGCCCAGGTGGACTCTGTATCCGCTGCGGGCACAGGAACAGGCTGGTTAGAGACGACAGGCCCCATCCCAGCTCTAGCCTCTTCCCCAGCTCACCTTCCTCATCTCCAAACACATCTCCCTCCACATCAACTGCAGTCCCATCCAAATCCTCTACTTCGAGTCCATTCCCACCCCCAACCCTCTCTCTCCACCCAAATCTCATTCTCACCCATTCCCCTCCCAACCCGAACGAACTCCCCACCCAGTCCCATGACCAACCCTACCCCATTCACCCTGGCCCCACTTACTCCTTCAGACAGTGTGCTGCCGTCAGGACCCATTTGGGGTGGACCAGGACTGCCCCACAAAGCAGCCGCCCCTGCACAAGCAGGGCTGCCTGCCAGGGCTGAGAGTGGGGAGCGCAGGTGTAGCCACCTGGGAGAAACCCATTGGTGCCATTGGTGCCATTGATAATCTTGGAATATTCCTGAGAGATGCCTGGTAAAGAAGAGACGATGTTAAATAACTGCAGTTCAGGCAGAGGAGGAGGTGTGGAGGTGGAGTCCCTGGGCTTGGGGGGAGGGTTGGAATTTGCCCTTGGTGACCAGGAACTGATGATTCATTTCTTGGGCTCTGGGAGTTGCTGTTTTCTAAGTAGTGGAGATAAGTCAGGGCAAAGAGATGACAATGCCCTTTTCCATAGAAGTGCCATACCCTCCATGGCTGGGATGAAGGCAGAGTTCACCGAATGAGGATGCTTCTGATGTGCAGAAGTCTGGCGTTCCCTCACCTGCATTTTCTCTCATCCCACCATGGGGATGGATTTCAAAAGGTAGAAGTGAGATGGACCTCCACAACTACCTAGGCAACATCCACCCACCCATCCACCCACCCATCCACCCA